TTTTTTTTAAACTTAAGTTCCTCATTTGTGTCTTAAATTTAGGAAATGGCTCTATCTTGCAAATGTTCATTTTATTTGACTTCCTACATTGACCTACCTAAATTAAGAAATCAAGGGTTTCTCGCACTTGTCCCTTTGTTTAAACAGTAAGTTGGACAATTTAGAGTTCCATCGATTTGGCCCCTATCATCACCGATAAATCCTAGAAGGACGTAACATATGTATGATGCGGTGAAATTCATTTTTGACATATTTAATCTATTACCAAGGTTTAAACATGCAATCACCTGTGTATGTGTGTGTTACGTTCACCTTACTAAATGTTTAAATAAATGTTTTTTAATAGGAGACAAACACGAACATTTCGCAGCCTCCCAAAACGCATACGCATACACTACACGCATGCATCTTGCACACAGGGGAGGTCGTCCTTAAAACGACCATAGCTGTTGCTAGGATGTAAAACGATACTAAACCAAACCAAACCAAAACTTCTAGTGCTGCACAATTACAAATTATTTAAACTTGTAATTACCACCCCAACCCCTCAACCCTCCGTATATGATGACACTTATATGCACGTGTTTGCAGGTGAGTGATTTAAACAAAGTTTCCTTTTTAGGTATCTTATCTCTAATTGATAACTGGTTACGTAATCGTCTGTCTCTGTTCGTGTCATAACATGAGATATATCGGTATCCCGAGATTCAATTAAGAAAACCTGAGCTGAACATGCGATGCCAGAATGTCTGTATGCGTGTGGTATTCATGATATATTGATATTCTGTCAAAGTGATCCCTCCCTTAAACACAAGGCTCCTAAGGGAAGTCTTATTGTACTAAAATAATGAATACTGTTTTTATGAAATTGTCAATACATTAGACGTTTATTACGGATTTGTTGATTTGATGCAAATCTTTTTGAAGTATCGTTCAGCCATGTATCGGTTTTCTATGTTAATGGGTATCGACTAATTAATCAAGGAGTGAAACAAAGCAAAATATATTGATTATAGAGCGTCACATGACTGTCCAGTATCAGGAACACAGAATATGTCAGTTATTCTAGTGTATTATATGATTGTCCAGTATCAGGAACACAGGAAATGTCAGTTATTCTAGAATTTTATATATTTGTTCAGCATCAGGAACACCAGATATGTTTGTTTATTTTAGTGTATTATATGATTGTCACGTATCAGGAACACGAGATATGTCTGTTTGTTTTGGTGTTTTATATGATTGTCTGTCTATATATTTTAGTGTATTATATGATTGTCTAGAATTAGGGACACCAGATATGTCTATTTATTTTAGTGTATTATATGATTGTCTAGGATTAGGAACACAATATATGTCTATTTATTTTAGTGTATTATATGGTTAACTAGTATCAAGACTTCGAGGTCTAACTAAACTAGCATAGTATTGTCGTTCCGCGCAGTGAACAATCGTTCCAGATTTTTAGCTCACCTGGCCCAAAGGGCCAAGTGAGCTAATGTCATGGTGAGGCGTCCGTCGTCCGTCGTCCGTCCGTCGTCTGTCGTCCGGCGTCCGGCGTCAATATTTTACTTTAAAAAACTTCTTCTGATGTTTGGTCAGAAGCAAACTGGGATGAAGGGCAATCAAGTTTATTAAAATAAATGACCTTCACTAATATGCAAGGTCACAGGGGTCAAATATGAAACTTTTAAACAACTTCTTCTGAATAACCAAAAGGTGCAGGATGATGATATTTGACCCATCACATGATGGGATAAAGGGCTACCAAGTTTGTTCAAATGAATGGCCTTGAATTATATTCAAGGTCACAGGGTTCAATTGTCTTAACAGTTTTTTAAACAACTTCATCTGAATAACCAAAATGACCAATATGGTGATATTTGGCCAGAGGCATGTTTGGATGAATGACCTTTACCGGTTTTCAAGGTCACAGGGGTCAAATATGTTAAAAACTTCAAACAACTTCTTCTGAATAATTGAAATGCCTAGTTAGATGATATTTAGTCAGTAGCATACTGGGATGAAGGGCTACTTACTTTGTTTAGATGAATGACCTTAACTTATATTGAAAGTCACAGGGGTCAAATATGTTTGAAAATATGTATGAAACCTTTAAACAATTTCTTCTGAAAAACCAAAAGCGAAGGATGATGATATTTGGCCCATAACATGATGGGATGAAGGGCTACTAAGTTTGTCCAAATGATTGACCTTGACATTTATTCAAGGTCACATAGATCAAACATGTTCAAAATCTTTAAAAGACTTCTTCTGAATAACCAAAAACCTTGAGATGATGATATTTGGCTAGCAGCATGCTAACATGATGCAATACCAAATTTGTTCAAATGAATAACCCTGAATTATATTCAAGGTCACAGGGGTCAAATAGGTTTGAAACTTTTAAACAACTTCTTCTGAATAACCAAAACGTGCAGGGTGTTAATATTTAGCAAATAGCATGCTTGGATAAAGGGTTTTCAAGCATTCTAATTTGAATAACCTTGACCCACTTTCAAGGTCACATTTGGTAAAGTATGTGTAAACATTTAAATGACCTTATCTTAATAAACAAAAGGATAGGGTGGTGATATTTTGCAAGTTGCATCGTGAGATGAAGGGCTGTAAAATTTGTTCAACATAATGACCTTATTGGACTTTTAAGATCACAGGGATGAAATGTTTTTTTAAATCTTTTAACAGGTTCTTTTGAAAGACTTATAGTCATAAATACTGATATTTTGCCTGTAGCTTTATTTTAGATCACTTTTAAGGTTACCAGTGTGAGATTTAGCCAGGTGAGCGATGCAGGCCCATTGGGTCTCTTGGTTTTTAAAATAATGAAAATGTTTAACGAACACTCATCAATTTTTTTTCTTACTTTTGTGTATACGATGTAACCTGTTGGTATATATGGTAATCAGTTGTTAAAAAGAACAAAAGGGGAAAAAATCGGGTAATCCGACCACGTTTACCTGTCCTGTTGACAACCATATTGATTACAGGTGAGTCATTTATCAGGTAAGAAGAAAAATGGATCTGCATGTATGATACAGGTGTGCGTAATTTAATAAAAAGCAGCAAAATATTGCGGAGTGTTTCATGAGCGAAACAATTATAAGAACTTAACAACTGTGATCGATGAGCATATCTTATCTGTTAGTTTTGCAACAAATACAAATGTACTTATGTCAATATGTAGCATCTTTCTGGTATACTGCGCGTAACCCATATAACATGTAATCCAGGGACCATCTTTAGTAAACCTTCTTATGGTACCAAACAAATCATTAACACAATACTTGAAAGAAGTAGTTTCCATTTGTTTGTTTTTTTCATTTTATGGGCGTTCTTGTGTATACAATCACTATATTGTAGAAAAGAGTCGTTTATCATTCATGAACAAAAAGTATACATTGGCTTAAGATATTTTATTCTCAAATCCTAATTACAAACGAAGTCTACCTTTTATATTAAAGATAATTGTCCAGCTCATCGTTTCTGAAAATATTGAAATTATAATTCCCACTCAACATTCATTTATAGATCTAGAGTTGAAGTTAGCTGTAACATATCTCTTTATCTCCAGTAATAGAGACGAAGAATACGAAGTTATAAAGAAGATATATAGATACTGATTTACGTATACAAAAGTCTGAACAATGCATAGAGGATTTCATGAGTGTCCATGTCATGTTGAATTTATTACACGAATTCAATAATGTGATATGACACGCGCCTTTAAGGCAAGAGTTTAATAACATATATAACACATGGACACGAATGTAAGATTCTATTTATCCCATAGCTTGCATAACTTGAACAAAACAAGTCATGTACAATCAGCTGACTCTATAAAGGCCAAAACCAAAGTACTCTGATCACAGCACTGCCGTTCCGCGCACTACAATTTTTTTCCAGATTAAAAAAAACCCTGAACAGTTTTTAATGCAACGGAAAAAATAAAGACCTAATAAACATTTTCAATTCATAGAAATAAATAGTCAACAGTAGGAAATGAAAGTAACACATGTAGTGGCGTAGTTTTGACAAATCGCAGTAACTTTCGGTTTTATTACACGCGTGTATTACCATATTTATGACTTGGACGTATGACATAGTAAAATGGTCAGTTGTGTGATAATAGACTCTTTCATGCCAAAGGGTGTAGGATAGGGAAATTTCACCCAAGGGGTTTTCAAATTTGGTAAAACCCGAGGCTATGCGAGGTGGAATTTCCCTATGCTACTCCCCTCGGCAGTAAAGAGTATTTTTCTCTCGTTCCAACTACCAGAAAAGCTCAGAAACCCTGAAAATGCGTTTGGACTAGCTACCATTTTGAAAATACCAATTTTCCCCCTTAGCTTTGTTCACGAAAACGAATCTGTCAGCGAGATTTTCTTACACCCATTCCTTGCCATGGACAGCTCTATCTTGCACGCACGGAAATGAGAGAAGCTACTTTATTGCCATTTATAGCCGTTCATTAGCTCTATCAAAGGTCTAGTGCTCGAAAAAATGTGAAGAAATACATCAAATTGGTAAGGTACATTAACAACCTTTATAACGTTACACTTTTGAAACGTTTGGCTAAAAAAGGAGCAATGAATGTGTTTCGTATCAAGCGTACCAGAAACAAATTGCAAGTTACCAATTGTCCACCTTGTCCGCCGGCAGAGTTAACCTCAATCGGCAGACCTCTAATGACTCTGCTGCAGTGTTCGATGAACGAATCTACCGTGGAGTTTCGGGTGGCGTCCACTACCTTGTCGCCCTACAGTTCCTTGCCTTGTCAACTAGCAAAATAAACCACTTGCAGAGTTCAACAACAGAGTCCACCCTTTGTCGTCAGGAGCATTCCTTGTCTTGTCAACTAGGAGAGTTATCAACCATGTCTACCACCTTGTAAGCTTGATTTACACTCCATTTTATATATTTCGCATGTATTACTTATATGACAGGATTTTAACATAAAACATAGTTGGAACTTAACAAAGTATTTCATAATTTTTATTCGATATAGCATGCAAACATGTATTATAGATAATATCTAAAACAGATTCATATTGTACAAAAATATATAGATTTATATAGTCAGTATTATTGCAGATAGATTCTGAGGTGTCACATATGTAAAAAGAAATTAAAATGACATTAGTAATATCAACAATGCAGACACAGAACTGTATAGTAATAAATAACGGGAAATAACACATTTAAATACAAACAACAATACACAAACACACATCTCTAATAATAAAATTCAAAATATGCATGTGATCGTATTACCTGATTTCTTGCATATGTTATTTTTGAAAAATATATCTTCGAACTTCAGTTGTACCCTTCATACCTTCCATTTACTCTTCAACAAAGAATCATCTTTTGAACTGAGGCATTTGTCAACACGGATTAAACTCATAAACCCAGGATTTTGTCATCACAGAATCAGCTCTTTAACCTTGGATTTTGTTATCACAGAATCAAATCTGGAACCGAGGATTTTGTCATCACGGATTGAGCTCATAAACCCAGGATTATGTCATCACAGAGTCAACTCTAGAACTGAGGATCTTTTCATCCCAGAAACAACTCTTCAACCCATGAATTTGTCATCAAAGAACCCAAATCCCTGAACACGTCTTACTGGTCGTGAAGGAATTGACGGTAGAGCTGTGATCTCAGAGTAAAGCTTTGATTAAATATATAAGTGATTCACACGGCAGCGTAATTGTTAAATTGACGGACTTTGATCTCGAATGATAATATTTCAAGGTTTGGAACTAAGCTATCACCATTGAATGATAATTGTCGCCGCAATTAAAATTTCGCCTTTTTCGCCCTCCGCAATGAGGGTAAAATTATCATGACAACGAATACGAATATACCCTTTCTAGTAATTACATGTGCAGGGCAAAAATAACGATGGGCGAACATGACGTTTACTGTTGAAAGGCTAATATTTGACAGTTTGAAAGTTTCCCGGTATACAGTAGACAAACGTCAGCCTTCGATTTTATCATGGTGCATTCCAAGGGTACAGGGTAAGTATGCATACTAAGCCAATCCGTATTTTTTAGCCTCGTTTTGACTAATTCCGAAAATTGTTGAAACCGCCTCATTTTCATCACAATGCGCTCGGCCATTCTTTCAGTAACAGCCACACGAATGGCCGCATGCTCATAGCTCCCACCCTCCCGGTAGTATTACTGTGGTGTGATGTGCTAGCTTGTTTGCTTTAACAATTGTTCAGAGCGCAACCCTTGAATATCGAAGAAGGAGATATATAAACTATTTCCAAGTGTAGTTTTTAATATAAGAGATGTTATAGTCTCTCTCTGAAATACCAGTGATCTCACAACTTGACTGATGATAGCATTGTAGTGGAATATATTTGACCTGTTCTGTCAATTAAACATAAATTTTAATTTTATGAAGATAATACCCGCTTGTCCTCCTGTGTTGCCGGTAAACCTCAAGGTACATTCACATTTGAGTAAGTGTAGAAATAGGTACGAAGAATCCCATTGTTATGGTAAAGCACACCACCAATCGACACCAGGGCTCGTATTCATGCTACTGTTCTCTTGCGCAATTCAATATTCTGTACTTCAGCCCTTTTTCACATGCCAGTGATACATTTATCAATTGATTATATTCTTTTCAATGATATGTAAGATATTTGGAAAGGCTTTAAGCCGAACAAGTTTTCATTGCTTACACTTGACTTTTTGACTGTATGACAAGATTTAAGCGAGTTACAAGAGAGTGGGTGTGAGCACAAAAATCATGCTTTAGCATGAAAATGGTTTCATAAATACGGACTCTGATTACGTAAATAATAGGAAAAGAAAACATGAAAACTACGAGTAAATAGTTATAGCAATGCTACCTTAGATAAAAATCACCAGCAATCCTTTCCTATTTTTTCTGGATGATCTGAATGGAGGTTACATCCGGTATGTTTCCTATATATAACTTGTCGCTCTATTCGCTAGCCGATGAAAGTGAGAAAAAATTGAATGTGAATCTTTTATTAATACCGGGAATTCCCTGCAATTTTATTATAACACGAGTATTAGCATTACCGCATTACCCCTTTCATCACTTTAGACCATAATGGACTCGTCCCGATAAATGTATATTAAAGTCTACTAATTAATAATAAACTTTGCAATTGTAAACGTACCTTAATGATCTGAAGGGAGGCAGTTTTCGGTATGTTTCCTATATAGAAGTTATCGTTTTATTTTCAAGACGTTGAAATCGGGAAACACGAGTATTAACATTAAACCTTTCACCATTGTAGATCATAATGGACTCGTCCCGATAAATGCATGGTAAAGTCTACTAAAGTTACCTAGGGGTGAAAGGGTTAAAACGCGGAAAAATATCAAATATTGATTTTGACAGATTCACACAATTTTATTTGCCCGTATATAACCTTTAATTTGATTTTGTGATGTGAGTTTTTTTATCAACAGTACAATACCACAAGGGAAATATGACACTGTGAATGAGATACAATGTACAATCGCTTAATAGCGACTCGGTACCGATAGTTGTCCTGAGATTGCGATATTTATCTAATGCAAACATAACCATTGTTATGAGAATGGGTTTTACTGATACGCCATTGCTTGTACGCCATTTGCAGTAAAACAATGTTTGGTGAGGTGTAACGCCATAATTGTCACACTATAGAACAGTACTGAGTGTACGAGATGCCGTCCTAAACACGGAAATCATCAGATTATTTAAGGTGTTGGACAGTTCCATATTTACATGAATTATTTTTTTCAGTGTTTTGCATTTTTAGAGGTTTTAGTGTTTGCACAGTTGTTTAATGCTTTGAACTGACATTTCATGATTTGCATTATCGTGAAATACCGTCCACTGCTATACCAAATCTTAACTCTGATTTCATGTCGTTTTTTTTTTGTTTTAGCTGTTATTTCATTTTTTTCGCAGTTGTTTATTTTTTTCTATATCATTCTTCAATACTATGCACTGCTGTATCTTGTGTTTCTCTTATGAGGTTAGGTTTGTAGTAAAGTCCTTCTACAAGGTATGCAGTGCTATAAGAGTCCAGAAGGTATATGAATCTTTTTGTTGTTTCGACCGCCATCCTTTTTGCCGATTCCAAAAACACATGTGTCTGTCATCGTCCGCTGTAGCTGTTTGTTCTTAGGGGGAGTCTTGATTTGTGGAAATGTAATTTGATTTTCTGACAAACACTTTTTAACTTGTTTATTAACTTGTTTTCTCGGAGACTTGTAAGGACCGAATATAGAATCATCTTCCTCTTCTTCGCTGGAGTACCCCTCAGAACTACTGGGATAAACGGGAGTACTTTCACCGGAAGCTACTAGACATCCAGACATATCACGCAGGTCCGGAAGTGAAAGTGAATTCCGGCGCTCTTTAAGTCTTGACACTAATGGACTCTGGTGATAATCCGTACAATTTTCTGAGCTGTCTGTCCTGCGAATGATAGGAAGATTGACTTCCCGTCCACACTTAATTGCGTCAGAACTCCTGAAATTCCTGCGCTTTAGTTTAGGTGTACTGAGAGATAGGGAATGACGTGTTTCGTCATCGATATAAATAGATTTAGGCGAGGTTCGTTCAAATGACCTATTCAAAGCATCGGGAGGTGTTTGCCCTTGTTTCCTTAATCGCTCCAGCCGTGGAGAATATGGCGGCGGTAAATGAGGACTCCTCGTTTTCTTAGCTTGACGCTCATTATTCTGAGGGAAATTTTTCTGATACGAAGTCAACAACTTGTACAATCGTGGTTCTCCCTTATCCTTCGTGTACGTCAGGGGAGACAATCCTGAGAAAAGAAAAGGAAAGATTAATTATTAATTCTTACTCAGTTTAGAGATTATAATAATACAGCACGTTATAGAACTATCGAATAATATGCAACACAGAAACTGCTGTATACGAAGGTTTAGATACTACAATGATGCAGCACTGTAAAGGCTCATACGTGTTCTGAAAATACAAAGATTATACGTCAAATATGTATATTCTGTCTTTGCGTATTGCAGAGTTATCTTCTCTTGGGAGCAGGTATTGATTGTTACGTCATTGGTTTGTGTGAGAAAATTACGTCGTTTTCTCAAAAATTGATGACGTTACTCTCACAAACAAGTGACGTAACAATCAATACCTCCTCCCAAGAGAAGATAACTCTGCAATATGCAAAGACGGAATAGCGAACATAAAATGTCTAATATAGGCCTATACATGTATACACAGAGAGTAGATATGTAGCTAGCATTAGTGGCGAAATTGCTTATAGTACAAATGTTATGAATATATATTGTGAAATTGCTTTTAGTACAAATGTTATGAATATATATTGTGAAATTTTTTATGGTTCAAATGTTACGAATATATATATTGTGGAATTTTTTATGGTTCAAATGTTATGAATATATATTGTGAAATTGTTTATGGTTCAAATGTTATAAATATATATTGTGAAATTGTTTACAGTACAAATGTTATGAATATATATTGTGAAATTGTTTATGGTTCAAATGTTATGAATATATATTGTGAATTGTTTTTGGTTCAAATGTTATAAATATATAATGTGAAATTCTTTATAGTACAAATGTTATGAATATATATTGTGAAATTGCTTATAGTACAAATGTTATAAATATTTATTGTGAAATTGTTTATGGTTCAAATGTTATGAATATATATTGTGAAATTGTTTATGGTTCAAATGTTATGAATATATATTGTGAAATTGTTTATGGTTCAAATGTTATGAATATATATTGTAAAACTGTTTATGGTTCAAATGTTACGAATATATATTGTGGAATTGTTTATGGTTTGAAATTGTTTATGGTTCAAATGTTATGAATATATATTGTGAAATTGTTTATGGTTCAAATGTTATAAATATATATTGTGAAATTGTTTATAGTACAAATGTTATAAATATATATTGTGAAATCTTTTATAATGAAAACGTTTATAATACAAATGTTTATAGTACAAATATTTTTAATAAACTTGAATCATGCACGGCTAATATGTATACAATGAAAACATTTATAGCGACATTGTATGTAAATCGAAACGCATACATGTATAGTAAAACTGTATACAGTTAGCATGTCTTAAGGTGAAATGCAATAAGTTGAAAATTTAGCAATGGATACGTATACAACGAAAATGTATACAGTGATTTTGTTTATATTGAAATTGTTTACATCAAACTCGAGTTTAGCCCTTTCACCCCTATGTTACTTAAGTAGATTCTACCATGCATTGATATGGATGAGTCCATTATGGTCCACAGTGTTAAAGGGTTAGTACGAACTTATTTTAGAAGCTGTAGCTAGTATGATATAAACACTTATTTATAGCAAACACAGTGCACCATTGTCTCCTGGCTTCATTCCCATAAGGTGATAGCAAAGTTGGTTTGGTTTAGTATTGTTTAACGTCCTAACAACCGCTATGGGCCCACTTGTATAAAACATCTCAAAGTTAAGGAAAATCTCAAGCAATGTATTGTCTATGGGTAATCTTAGACTTGAGGAAATCTCAAGAGTTGAGATGTTTTATACAAGTGGGCCATGGTCATTTAAGGACGGCCTCCCCTGTGTGCAAGATGCATGCGTGTAGTGTATATGTGTGCGTTTTGGGAGGCTGCGAAATGTTTGTGTTTGTCTCTTTGTGATAGCGCGGAACTTATGCCGACTTTATAGTGTTACCTCACTGAAACATACTGCCGAAGACACTCAGCAGGACAATCCACCCGGTCACATTGAACTGGCAACGGGCGAACCAGTCGTCCCACTCCTAAATAGCTGAGCGTTAAGCAGGCGTAGAAACTACCATTTGTATTGGTGTTGGTGATAGGTGTACTCTAACTTGCCACGACTGAGATACCCGCATACTGTCTATTCATAGCACTTTGAATAACTCACTGTCATAATGGGATTGGTTTTGTTTATTGATAAGTCCATCCTTTTTTTACTAATTTTGTCTGCATACGTAGAAATTATCATTTGGTTTCTGTATGTTTAGCATAAAGAGTTTCTTTCCGTATTTCGATGCTAGGACTTTGCCACCGGTTGTCGTCTTTTTTCTTCTTCTAAACAATCCATTTTCTAATTTTGTTTTTATATTTCTGACTTGACATTTTCTTTCGACCTTTTTCAAATTTCAATATTCAAGTAGTTTCTTTAATTCTTGAAATAGCAAATACCACCACAATGAAAACACAAAATGTGTACTAATAAAAATGACAAATATAGTTAAAAACACTCGACAGTCATTCCTATGGTGGACTTCACTATACAGTATGTTAACTCATTCACCCCTAAAATTTCATAATGATCTATTCAAACCTTTGAAATGGAAGAGTTCAAATGTGTTTTCAGGGGTGAATAAGTTAACACGGAATTAAATCTGGATTTAAGACCATAATTCTCTAATCCCTGATCGGTATTTTATACTGAGGGTCTCCCAATACATACGTATGTGGGACAATCCCGGCTGTGTGACGTATTATTCAATTAGTTCTAATAACTCTAGACAGTCTCTGACCTACATCCGGTCTTAGGAAAAGGAAAGGTTGGGCTTTGTCACGTGACATGTAAATGCCAAACACACACACGATTTTATTTTGCAATTATGCCAAATCTTATTGAAATACATCATAATACCGAGTTCAAGTGTTCAGGGTCTTTAAACCAGGGGTATAGAAGTTCATTTACGAAATTCGCTTCATTCATTTGGCATTTAGGTGATATAAATGTCAAATGGATTAATTGATTGAAACGTCTAAACGATCCATCAACGGAAAAAGAACAAACGAAGATTAAGTTCAACGCCTGTGGTTGACAAAGGGGGAAATGATGAAGGACGGCGAACAAGACATGGTTGATATACGTCTGATCACTTCCAAATGAGATTTCTGAGAAATATCTAAAAATTTCAAATATTGTTTTTTTGTGCTTGGTATATAAATGATGATAATTATAAAACCGTATACGCACAATTTTAGTTTGGGATTTCATTTGTTTTGACAAATTTCTTTGTGTTATGTGGTCATTTATTTAAGCATACTTTGAACAACTCTTAGATACCCTGGAACTACGATTCAAAAGCTGAAAAGGGCATTTCGGTATAATTTCATTCACTAATATTTTAAGAATTATAAACATTAGACAGATATAAGCATGTCATGGCATTCAAAATGATCCCTCCCTCAGATAACATTATAAATAATCATATTTTTGCATATAGTTTAAAAAAAATACATTGATACAGTAAGGACTAATATAATAGATTACATTTGCAATATCGGTAAAAAGTGCGATTAAAACTTACTGCGATGAAGAGATTTTCGAAACACTTTCTATCTTCACATGTGATGATATTGGGGTCAGTATCGATTTTATATTGACCAATCAAAATGATATTTTCTATTTGCTGCCGTGGACTTTCTGTTCAGCTGCAGATGAAGCGACGATAGAATAAGGGATTACTTTTGTATATCTTTGGTACGTACACGAAGTTATTAACATAGGCCTGCATACACAATTGATAATATATTTTTGTTAGCAAATCCTGCCTAAAAAAATAGCAGAAAGCTGTAGAATTGCATTGAGTAGCGCATTCAAAAAGGCGTGACGTCATTATAACCTGGCGTCAAACATTATGCTATTCACTCCTGAAAAAATAATAGCATTCTGTAAAACTCCTGAAATAGATATGGTATCCACTGGAAACATCCTCTATATACGTTGTATTGGTACAATATCACAGCATTATAGTACGGTGATATTAATTTATGGAGATTGCGAAATATACAGAAATGACGTAGGAATATTTATTATTGCTATTATTATTATAATAAGTGACACTACACTTAAATAATTGACAACTAATTATAAGGTAGGAACACCTGTCACATGCTCTCCCCACCATTAATTGTTTTCCAACCAATATTTCAATATTTGTCATTCACGTTCCTCGGTGTTATATATCACTTAATAGGCCGAGATAAAGCCCATTCATTCTATATAAGACGATATCCTATTTGTATTGAGCATTTTGCTGTCAGATTAATAAGGGTCTCAAACAATGTCCATGTCCATTTTAGCAGAAGGTAAGTATTTACTCGTTCACACCTACATATTTAAACTGGACTTGCCCAGTCTTTGATTTGGTAAAGGTTCAAACGTGACTTTAGGGGTGAATGGGTTAAATCCATCTACCCTTATTGTTTTATATGATTTGACAGATATAATTTCATAGGAATTATTTCGTTTCAGACTACAACCTATTTCTGTGAAGTCTAAAATATCCCAGAGGAAACAGAACTAGTTTTTTATTATGAAAAGTTCTTTTTTACACAATCAATTAAGAGTTTCTATGTGACGTTTCGATGACTAGAACGGTATGTACACTGTCACCTTCATCAGACAAATGGCAATGAAGGTCATTGAAGAAGCAAAGAACTGCCTGAAACAATTTAAACATCACATGACTATGATCTGTCACTTAATAGTCAGTGGTAACTTCTCTACGTTAGTATATCGCTCTATAAAATGACATCAACAGCACACATCATGTCACCCTTCTCTACTCACCATTGGTATCATATACATCCAATAATGCCAAACCGCCCGGATGGTCAAGAATCCTCTTAACGATCGGTAAACTTCCGGTTTTCACAGCGTACATAAGGGCAGAATTTCCGTCAAAGTCAAATATATCGATACGACTATCCGGGTCACTGACTAGACAGTCCACTACGTCACCTTTACCGGAAATACATGCATGCATTATTGCAGTCCTTCCCAGGGAATCTTGCATATTGACGTCAGGTTCTCGTTCCAGAACCTCGTTTATAATATCAACGATATCACGATCAGGAATTTCTAGATAGCATACTTTCATGAGGATCGTTAACAGGTCATGACTGATGTCTCGTGAATTCACGTCCACATTCTCGTTAACAACTAAACTTAAAATTTTCTCTGTGTTGTTTTGTTGAATGGCTTTCTCCAGATTTCTGTGAAGTACTTCCGGTTTGGTTTTCTTTGACATGGTCACTTAGTTGTGGACTGGTTGCAAGAATTCACATCTGCGAAAAAATAAATAGAGAATAATTAATAATGTGACCATAAAAAATATCCGACATACAAATTCAGTGTTTGTGATATTCAGCATAAAAACATTGGGTTTTCTGTTTGTCTCGTTTCCCACAACGGCAGGAGATTTTCAGTGATCTGTCAATAAAACGTACATGTATCGGGACAATGATTGGATAACAAAACGACGTGTTAGCTTTCTATATTTTGAATCACAATCAGCAATATATTCGTGGCATATTTAGTGAATAGATAACGTGTACAATGCTAATCAAAAAATAGTTTATTTCACCAATATAATTAATTTTGAAGAAAAACCCATCAAGTTGCCTCTGTCGATTGATGAATTCAACATGTGATCATTACTACATAAAATTAAAATTTTAAGAAATGCAATAGGAAATTATTAATACATTTTAAGAAAACTAATAGATATCAACTTCTTTCATATAATATCTTATCATTTTCTGAACAAATATGTTCCTTATCTGTGTAAGCACATGCATAGTAATTATATGATATCAAGGAGGGCTTCAGAATCCACACCAAATCCTTCAGAAAGAGTTTCCAAAGAGCCAGCACCATTCTGCCTTACCTTCCCACTTGCACCAATATTGATAAAAAAAACCTAATTTTTATTTTTAACGAAACCCAATTTTTAATTAATAACGTGGTCATTAGGAATCGGAGAATACATATCATTAAGTTTCAATTTAACATGTGTGTACGATGGCCGACAAGAGGCTGACAAAAAGATATGAATTTTCATATCTTTTTGTACCATGGTACACTTTTATATGGTACACAAAGATATTAAAATTCAAATATTTGTGTACCATGTAAATGTGTACCATGGTACACAAAGATATGAAAATTCATGTCTTTTTGACAGGCTCTTGTCGGCCACCGTATGTTTGAGACAATATAAGAGAACACATTTTACTGTTACGACTCTTCAAGCTGATAATTGTGAGTTTAGAAAAATGTCAATGATTTTCATATATCATACAGGCGATAGATTTGATACAGATATGTGTATATACTCTTTGTTTTCGAGGACAATGATCGCTACGTTGATATTGAGAATTAAGCAAACAATATTTTTGATAAAAATGATCGACTGAAAGAACACTGTTTTAAAAGCACAATGGTGCTACCGGACCCCCGCAGTGGTAGACGCTGACGCTACTACATTAACAATGGGACGCCATTGTTTGTTTAGGGTGACTCAATCTCTCCACACTTTCAGACGGGACATCTATTCTATTTGAATTACAAGCTTTATAGTTTAATCTGTACATGTTCATTCACCGTAGCAATCGATTATTCATTGATGTGTCAGCATAGTGGTTATGACATTATTGCAGAGTTATCTTCTCTTGTGAGCAGGTATTGATTGTTACGTCATTGGTTTGTAAGAGTAACGTCATCAACTTTTGAGAAAACAACGTTATTTTCTCACACAAACCAATCACGTAATCAATACCTGCTCATAAGAGAAGATAACTCGCAATACGCAAAGACAGAATACAAGCTTATCAACAATAAATCACTTTGTGGATTTTACTTTTTCGTTGGGTTTCTAATTTCGTTGATTCCTTGGATGTTCTTCATCCTCGAATGTGTGTGTCCACAAAGTAATTACGCCTTTTTCGCATGAAAGTATTGTTCGTACGAGTATTATTCTGCCATCTTCCCTGGGTACTATATGTTGTAATCAACGAATCAATGAAGCAACAAACATTTTTGTTGTTGCTATCTTGTTTTCTTGTTTTTTTGGGGGTGGGTGCACGAAATTTGGCCACACGCAAATATCTGATTTCACAGTAAGTCTCATTTGCTGACGCACTATAAATATACAGAGGATTTAGGACAAGTTTCCATCACAAAGGACTTTAAAGCTCGTTACGTAAAGTGCAGAAAAATGGGAACAGATGTAAGATTATGGATTTAATACCCAACAAAGCACTTCTACATATAACAGAGGTCATTATTTTTTCAATGCCTCCGCTAGGTGTCAAACCACGAACTTCTGGCTTACTAGTCTGACGCTTTAACGAGAGAGTTCAATTCAAGATATTTTCTTATTTCAAATCAAAGGAATTAGACAACAGGCATAGCCTGTATAAGTCTTCTCTCGTGGAGAAATCGTCTTTCCATAAGAGATAAAGAGAAAATTATCCCTGGCCGAGTCGGTAGGCAGCAGCTAGTATTTTACCAGGATGACACATGTGTCTTAAAGTGAACATCCAGATGGAGCCAACACATATGGACTTGCGGTTGGTTGACATTTATGTATTCCATGTTTCTTATTCTATTTGTACAGTAATGGGCAGGATATAGACTAATATAGCCCCACTCCGAAGAGACGTCAATTCACCAGTAACTGGTGGGGGGTTCTCATTGCTGTAGAACCTCCTGGTGAAGCACTCATCAATATACAGTTGATGAGAGCTTTGTGGGTACATGGATCCGTGGATAACCAGCACACACGAAAGTTAGAAATAGAGAAGTATTCTACTCATAACAAACAAAACTTCATGTCTAAGAAGTAATTACTTAGTGGATATACAAATTCGTGGTGAAGAGCACCCACAAAATCAAGGAAATTAAAAACTGAACGAAAATTAATGATTTCAGAGTTAAAACCCACACAAGGATTCAATGGTGATTAGCTGGTATGCTGGCCATGCTGACATACAATATTGATAATATTTAGATCGCAAGTTACTTCGAGTCCAGCCGGGTTGTATTTGTGTGAAAAGGTAGAACAGGACGAAACAAAAGACGTTGTCCAATGTCATCAGTATCCTAATTCAGCTGTTAACGCGGTCGTCTGTAGTTGAAAGTATAAGAAGCAGTGGGTTTAGAATAAATGGGGTCCTTTTGTAGTACGGTCTTATGCTAGAACGAATAGAGTTTTTAGTGTAGGATTTGTTGGTACGATTTTATGTAAGCTTCGATTGATTGTAAAAATACTGTTTGATATTTCTGATATTAACTGCATCTAATCTTTAGTCGGCAAATAAAACTTAAATAAAATATCGAGTTGCCGGAAGACCGTGACTAGCCTTACGAACAGGCTTAACGTGTCGAAATTTGATTCACATCGTCAATAATTTTATAAGGTTTTAAGTTAGTTTTCAAATGTCAGCAGGAACGGTGTCAGTATACTCTTCCTCTAAAACTCGTTATACGGAAAGAGGAAACGAATACAGCTTAGTTCGAAAGTGGTGGACCTCTATCATTGCAGGCCCAAAAATCTCAAGTATTGAGTCAGGGTGCTCAACATAGCCAACCATTTCTAGTCATACAAACTGTATACCAAGCAATCTCTAGTCATACAAACTGTATACCAAGCTATCTCTAGTCATACAAACTGTATACCAAGCAATTTCTAGTCATACAAACTGTATACCAAGCAACCTTTAGTCTTACAAACTGTATATCAAGCAATTTCTAGTCATACAAACTGTATACCAAGCAACCTCTAGTCATACAAACTGTATACCAAGCAATGTCTAGTCATACAAACTGTATACCAAGCAACATCTAGTCATACAAACTGTATACCAAGCAACCTCTAGTCATACAAACTGTATACCAAGCAACCTCTAGTCATACAAACTGTATACCAAGCAATCTCTAGTCATACAAACTATACGAAGCAATCTCTAGTCATACAAACTGTATACCAAGCAATCTCTAGTCATACAAACTGTATACCAAGCAATCTCTAATAAAGTATTACTACAGATCTAGCAGTTTTTTTATCAGGTTTCATAGCATTATAGCCAACAATCTCAAGTCAAGTAATACTACAGTAAAATATAAGGTCAGGTTTTATCACATTGCCAACAATGTATAAACAAGTAATACTACAAACCTAGAAATATTGAGCCAGGTTTCACCACAGCAAAACCAAGTCAAGTAACACAATATCTAGTCACTACATACACTACATACCCAGCAATCTACCATAAAGTAACAGGACACACAATGCAATACCTTAGTATAGTAACAACACATACCTCACAATCTACAGTAAAGTGACTACAGAAATCTCGAAAAAGTAATTGCATCGCTGCATGAACTCTTGTATTCTAAAATAGTGCCAATTGGAATGAAATACTTACAGAAATGTTGATATAGGGACGAAAAATATCCCACTTAGGAGGTGTGTTCCACATCCTTTTGGATATACATGTTATATTTTCAATTACGATATTTTAGTTATTGATTTTGATGGCAGTATAGTCAGCTAGCAATATATGATAATATGCTTCCGGTGTTCAGAGATATACAGTATATGTGATTGTAATTGTATCATTTCTTTGAATACATCTGATATAAATTATATATCCGGAGAGACATACCTATTCAATTGTCTTCTCTGTGCAGATGCCGTAAAGTTGATGAGTGGCTCTCGTTAATTATTCACGTTTCTAATTATCTGATGAAGCTAGCTCAGAATTTCCAATAACCGGTAATAATGAATATTTAAGGAGAGAGTTTCCTGTTTCTAAACTCTAATGAGATTGTTTCGTGCTTATTTATATTGTTTTCAAAATCAAATTCATGATAGATATGAGCATAATCTCAAATAAACGGTATTCAAACAACATCCACACAATAAGATAAGACAGTTGACAATAACACTGCCACACTGCACAGTGGTGTTGTTTGTGTGGTTTTGTTTGTGTATGCACAGAGTTACACGTAGCCCCATGTTGTAGAAATGTAAGCTTTAAAGGGGTTTGCATACACCTTTATATTTCCGATGCATTATGGATATGATTCGGAACACTTAAGCGTGGTTTTGTTTACTTTGTTTTAGTACTTATGTTGAGACTTAAATGGACGAAATGGCCAGATGGTGAATTTGGTGTAGCAAAACGTTAACTTTGTTGCTGAATTTTTAAACTTGTTTTTCAAATGCAAATGAGTGCTTCCCTTAACCTCTTAAGCATTTTCCCAAAGATTACACCCACAC